CTACAGAATTGGTCTTACGCGCATAAGTTCTGCTAATGCTTTTTCAAGGAAATATAGAAATGAAGCAGAAATCGAAGAACACGTTTTGCAAAAATACAGTAAACCAAATGCATGGAACAAATATGAAAACAAAAACATGGAGGGAAAGAAGATTTGCTTACCAGATTGAAGAAAAGGGGATTGGGGATGAAAACAGTAGCAGCAAAAGAGGAACACGAACTCAGGATTAGAAGAGCAAAGGCACGAAGAAAGGAAAAGGGTGAAATGTGTGGGTGAATGATTCAAGGCTGGAGGAATTGTTTTGTGAAAAGGGAGAGAGAAAAAACAGGAAACTGTTCAAAATTTTCGTAGTACGAAGGCGGCGTGACAGCTGCCCACAGCCTATCAGAGCCTGCCACGTGTCATTGGAAAGTGAAGCGTTACAGTCACAATGATTGAAGAGACGTTTTGACCGGACAATCGGAACTCGGAGTAAATTAAGCTCGGCTGGAGAGGTTAATGGGATTTTTTAGCTCGGCTGGGGAGGCTTAAAAACGTTAGCTCGGCTGGTCACCAGGTAATCCTAATCATGCTGTGCAGAATGGAATTAAGGGGCAATTGAGAGGGTAATTTTTGGTAAAAATTGGGCCGAGCTATGAGATGGACTTTATGGCCCAAAGTATGACGGACTGGGTAAAAAGGGCCGAGAAGTTACTCCGGCCCGAGAGAGATAAATTACTTCGGTCAAAAGAGATGAAGTTACTTCGACTCAGGAATTGTAAAGCTACTTCGGTTTGGACAACTTGGAGTTAGTCCGGTCTCCGAGTTAGTCCGGTCATGGCGTATTCTGGATAGATCGGTCAAGACCTTGCTACTCGGTAGCTCGGTCCCAACATATCATGGTTCATACATGGGAGAACCGAGATAAGGAGTAAAAGGAAGGGCCGAACTAAGGATAGTTCGGCCTACCTTGTGGCTCAGCTTAGCCAGTTTACTTCGGGCAAATGGTAGTTCAGCCATGGTGAAAACCATCCTACTTGGTTTAAGTAGTGGGGGGTGTAAAAGGATAAGCATTATCTTTTAGGAGTATGAATCCTAGGAGGACTCTGCATGGAGAAATAAAAGTCCTATTAGGATTGGGCCACTCAAAACCTATATAAAAGCTCACAATCATCACCTTGGAGGAGGTAACATAACACAACATACAATTTTGCTTCCTGAATACATTGAGCTTTGTCTATTTGTCAAGTTTTCTGACTTAGGTATCAGAGAGGTTTCCGGCACACACCCGCCGGCTAGCTCACGTTTGTGTTTTCAGGTGACAAAGCGACGTCGTACGGAGGAGCGTGGACTTAGTCAACAGGATTATACGAGGAGAATTATTTCTTCCCCGTACATATACCTTTTTGAGGTTGCACATTGTAACATCTCCCAAAATCATGACCTTAGTTAGGAATTATTTGAAATGATCTAAATAGATTTATTTTTTAACTTTTTATGAAAATATATAAAAAATAATTAAAAATAATATAGCTTAAATAAATATACTTATTGAAAAGATGCCAAACCAACTGCCACATGTCCGGACTTTTTCCAATTACTTTATTCTAACTTTTTTATCGGTTTGTGAATCAATAAAAAAAAAGAAAAAAAAAAGGGGTAAATTACACTAACACTTCCTGAAATTTATATTTATTACAATTTTTTCCTTTATCTTTTGAAAATTATATCTCTTCTTGAGTTTTAAAGTTTCATTACAGATTCTCTCTTCAGCAATTTATTTTTTTTAAATAACAATTGTGCTTTCATTGGGTAAATTACATTGACACCTCTCACATTTTAGAAATTACAATGTCCTCCCTAAGGTTTAAAGTAGCATTATCAATTGCCCACTTGGTTAATATTAGTTAGAAAAAAAAAATTATTGAAAAAAAAATTAATTGAGAAAAAAATTATTTGAAAAAAATTATTTGAATATTTTTTTATTAGTAATGTTTTTAAATTTCTGTTTAAAAACCAACGTAAGCTTATTTTTTGAATTTACGCTTTTTCCTTAAATTTACAAACTAAGACAACAATTTATAAATCAAAAAAAAATTATCAAATAAGGTTTTATGACAGTTTTTTAAATTTTTATAAATATAATTGAAAACTGAAAATGAAATGGTTACCAAACAGGCTTGATGGTAAAAATGTCATAAAATTAACAAATAATTAAATTAGTTACCAACGTAAAAAATTGACTTATTAAAAGATTCTTAGGATATGTATGATTTGATTTTTAGAATTTTTTTTTAAAAAAAATTAAAAATTAATTTGGTTAAGAAATAAAAAATAAAAAATAATTATCATTTTTATATAATTTTTATCTTTCAAGTGGTTATAAATAATTTTTTACAAATTAAATTGAAACAGCTATACATGTGTATATAACCTGCCCAAAAGTTAAAATGATAATTATTTTGGGCAGGTTATATACATATGTATAGCTGTTTCAATTTAATTTGTAAAAAATTATTTATAACCACTTGATAGATAAAAATTATATAAAAATGATAATTATTTTTTATTTTTTATTTCTTAACCAAATTAATTTTTAATTTAAAAAAAAAATTCTAAAAATCGAACCATACATAACCTAAGAATCTTTTGAAAAGTCATTTCTTACGTTGGTAGCTTATTTAATTATTTGTTAATTTTACGATATTTTTACCATCAGGCCTGTTTGGTAACCATTTCGTTTTCAGTTTTCAATTTATATTTACAAAAATTTAAAAAGCTGTCATAAAAACTTGTTTGATATTTTTTTTTAGTTTATAAATATAAATTCAAAAAATAAGCTTACGTTGGTTTTTAAATAGAAATTTAAAAACTTTACTAACAAAAAATTTTTTCAATTAATTTTTTTTCTAATGAATTTTTTTTCTAACTAATACTAACTGAGGAGGAATTAGTAATGCTACTTTAAACTTTAGGAAATGGATTGTAATTTTTAAAATATGAGTGGTGTCAATATAATTTACCCAATGAGGACAAAATTGGTATTTAAAAAAATTAAATTGCTGAAGGGAGAACCTATAATGAAATTTTAAACTTCAGGGGAGAGATGTAATTTTTAAAAGATGAGAAAAAAACTATAATAAATATAGACATTAAGGGGTGTCTGTGTAATTTATAAAAAAAAAAAAAAAACACGTAGTTTTCACATTGTCATAGTCAATAATGCATTGTGTCAACAAAAACAATTCAAATTGATGGAAGACTTACTTCAAATGACTTTGACTAAAGCTTGGTTTGGCAGGATAAAAAAAAAATTAAAAAGTCAAAAAGTCATTATTATATTTAAATTATATCATCTTATTTCAGTCACATCACCTCTCTATCATATTACTTCAAACTCAATTTATACCCGACTCATATTTTATAAAATGTCAAAATGTACACTTATTTTGTTTTTTTCCAAACAACTCCTAAGGTCAAGTTTGGCTAACCTAAAAAAGTGCACTTATTTCATCTTTTTATCTTTTTTAGGTCACATCAATCAATATCTCCTCTTTACTTTTTCTACACATAATACAAAAAAAATTCAAAAAGTGAACAATGTACAAATAAAAATGATTGAAAATCCTAATAAAAGAGTTTTAATGAAGGTAAATCTCCTTATGATGTGATATTTTGATTTTTTTGATTTCTTGCTATATTATTAAAATTTAATTAAAGTTCTAAAATTAAGAACTGTATCCCTGCACACGTATTATTTCCGTCTACATTGTCCTGTGCATTTTTATTTACCTAATTTCTTTTTACAAAATTCATTTTACCTCGTACTTTTCCATATACAATTACACCCATCTTATTTATAAATAACTACATAATTTCTTTGAAATTTATAGATAGAAATACATTAAATATTCTATCAAATTTAACAATTAAGTGTAAAACAGTTGCCAAATATAAAGGACTTATATGTTCATTTTCAAATTTTTACACATTCATTAATTTTATTGTGAGACCTTTGTGGCTCACTACAAGACCCTTTTTATTAATTATTTTTATTTATTTTTTAGACATATATGTGTAGATCACTCGTAAAAATATTAAATTGATCTGGTAATTGTAGTCATGCAATTTCTTCACATTTTTTCTCCAAAAAAATTCAACTATTTATTTTCAAAACCACACTTCCTGTTCATTTTTTGAAGATAAATAATAAAATTATCACGCAACTTCCCCTCCCCCCTCCTCCCACCCCAAAAGAGATCCATTACACAAAAAAAAAAAGTAAAAAACATTAAACATTGTAATTCACGATTTTGAATATAATTACAAAAAGTTATTTTTATACACAAACTTTATTTTATATTATGAAAAAGCAAAAAAAAAAAAGAAAAAAAGAGAGTAAATGAGATCAATTTATAGTAAACCTTAGAGTGAGTCCAGTCCAACAACAGAGGGTTTGGGAGATAAGCATGGACTCTATAAAAGATAAAGAGGGACGGTTCTCTCCGGTGAAGGGTGATGTTGGGACTCTATGGCTTATTATGGAGCCTGTAACAATGTATAGGTCTCGTAAAGTATTTTATTCTTATAAAAAAAATTACATGGATCGAATATTAATAGATATTTAATTAGATCTTATTTGTATTAATAATTTATTTTAAAAATTATACTTACTGTTAATACAAATGTAATCTGATAGAATAACTATTGATATCTAATCAATATAATTTTTTATAAAAATAAAATATTTGACAAATTTTACAAATTAAATAATTCAAATTATTGGTGTAGGCTCCGTAATCAACCCATGAAAGCCTAACAACATTCTATGGGTCAATTTAGACAGGAGAGAAGCGTCCCAGGAGAAAAGAAATGAAAGTTATTGAAGTCTAATTTTGCAATCTTGTTAAGAGTGAGAACTTAAAGCAGTATATTAAGAAATTACAGGGATCGCATAGGCAATTTTCCCTGAAAAATAGGGCAGCAAGTTTGAAAGAAAACCCCTATCGCTCTCTATCTGTTCATTCACGCGTAGAGGTGGTGGTGGTGGTGGTGGCACCGTGTCAGTCGTCTTCCCCTCTTTAAACTTTACGCGGCTTGACCCCGCGTCTTCCTCCGTAACTCCGTTGTCTCGCTCTCCTCATCTTTAACTTACTCTCTCTCCTCAATATATATACCCATTTTCATCTCTCTCGTGACCTTTTAAACCAAACATCGTCTATTACCTGTACATACACACACAACCACCCCCAACAATCCCCCCACAGATTGAGACTGAGATTTGGAGAGAGAAATATGTTGAGATCGTGTTGCAGATGCTTGGGGCGACGCACCGGTGATGGATTATTGTGGCATATGGACTTGAAGCCTCACGCCTCCGGCGACTTCTCGATCGCCGTTGTTCAGGCCAATTCTAGCCTCGAAGATCAGAGTCAAGTTTTTACCTCTCCCTCCGCTACCTACATCGGCGTCTATGACGGCCATGGCGGCCCTGAAGCTTCTCGATTCGTTAACAGACACCTCTTTCCTTTCCTCCACAGTAATCTACCTCTCTCTCTCTCTCTCTCTCTCTCTACCGTCGTATTTGATTTGATCGGAATCGTAACTATCTCTGAATTGTTTGTTTTCAGTTATATTTACTTTTTTATTGATGTTTCGTTATTAAAAATTTGTCTGATTCAAGTGTTTGGTAATCGATATAATTCTGATAATTCTCTTTCTAGAATGTTTGTTGCTAGTTGAAATTTTCAATTAGTACAAGCATTTGCTTTTTAATTATGTAAAAAATTTGTATGGTAGCAACGAAGTAATCAGTATTTAATTTGATGTTGTATTCTTGTATTTTTTTAGATAGTAATTCTTTTGAATCAGAACTATCTGATTCAATTGTATGATCTGCTCATGCTATGTAAAGTGTTTGGTTGGAAGTATGTATTCGATTCTCATAATTCTCTCTAGAAATGTTTGTTGCAAGTTGTGGATTTTATTGTATTTGATTTGTGTTGGAGCAACGGAGTAATTAATGTATTTCATTTTGATCTTTCTCTATTTATTATTTTCTTTAAATTCACTTTGTCTGAACTACTTTTGATGTTTCGCTATCTAAAATATCTGATTCGATTGGATGATCTACTCATTCTCTCTGCTGTGATTGTTTGGTAATCTATTTAATTCTGATAATTCTCTCTTTAGAATGACTTTGCAAGTTGCAAATTTCAATTACAACAATGGTACACACTCCCAAAAAACACAACTCCACAACCCCACTAACCTGTGATTATTCCAGGAAGTAAAGAAAAACTAAAAACAAAAATATATGATTGGTCCATATCATTTTGGGGTCATGGGTTCCCAACTTTGGGGTCCCAAGCGTTTTTGTTTCAATTATTGTGAACGTTTGCTTTTTGACCATGTCATTGGAGGAGTAACAGAGTAATTCTTGTACTTGGTTTTGATCTTTCTGTTTTTCTAGATAGTAATTCTTTGAATTGTATTTTTCAGTTCTATTTACTTTTTGATGTTTTGCTATCTAGAATATCTGATTTGAAGTCAATTTAATTCTGATAATTCTCCCTCTAGGATGTTCATTCCAAGTTGCAGATTTCAATTAGTCCAAAGGTTTGCCTTTTAATTATGTATGTTGTGTTGGTGCAACAGAGTAATTGGGGATCTCTCTCATTGTTGTTTTAAATTTGTTGCAGAATTTGCTACGGAGCAAGGGGGATTATCAGCGAATGTAATAAAGAAGGCATTTAATGCAACGGAGGAGGAGTTTCTGCATTTGGTGAAGCGATCGTTGCCAGTTCAGCCACAAATTGCTTCAGTTGGGTCATGTTGTCTTGTTGGTGCAATTTCAAATGATGTGTTATATGTCGCCAATCTTGGAGACTCAAGGGCAGTTCTTGGTCGGAAAGTTTCCGAGGGACAAAAGAGTAAAGTGGTGGCTGAACGTTTGTCTAAGGATCACAATGTTGCATGCGAGGAGGTGAGGAAGGAGGTCGAGGCACTTCATCCTGATGATTCAGCTATTGTAGTCCCTTGCCGTGGTGTTTGGAGAATTAAAGGGATAATTCAGGTACTTAGGGCTGCTTGCTCTGCTTTGTATGCTTTGTTTTTGGTGATTGATTTTGTTTTACTTAAAATTTGTTAGTTACTTAAAGAATAACTTTATTGAATCATATCACAAGCAGAAGTACAGCGTGCATGTGCTTACATCTGCTCTTATGTCTAAGGATTTCACACTTTCTATCTGTGTTGAGCAAGGACCTCGTTATATTTAACTACCAGATGCCCAATTCGTCACTATTAAGGGAATCTTAGGATTTTATGAAATGTTTTATAAAGTGTTGGAGACAATAAATTATTAAATGAGGGCATATGTGGTGAGCAGTTGGAAGTTGACAATTAGATTTCCCCGTATTGTACTATTTGCCTCTTGTTTATCCTATCCTCTTCACCTTGAACAAATTTATTACTAATCTGTGAAAAGTAAATCTTTCCATGGCAAATTATGGTTAATAAATGACTGAAAACCATCAAACCTTTACCGTCAGCCTTTCCCTCAAAGTCAAGTTGGAGCACAAATTGTTGCATTGAACAGCATCACATACATTTATTGAGGAAGGTGGAAAACATAGTTTACTGTATATTTTGTCTTATTTTATTTTTTTATGTTAGATGAACTTAAAGACTACCAGTTTCTCTATTATATATAATTCGCTCGTAGCCTTGATCTTTATTTGCTTCGCCAAAAAAAGTGTCTTGCGTCTCGGCACCATTTATTTCATATCTTGATATGCTATTTGCTTTTATCTTTATCTTTTTCTTTTGGCTTTAGTGGAAGGAATGTCTTTCCTCATAAACTGAGATAAAAAAAAAAATGTTCTAGAGGGGGCTATAGCTTGCCTACTCTTCAAGGAATCACATGCCTCTTGGTCCACGTCTCAAGCAACTTAAGGTCAAAAGTTGTCTTTTATGCATGAGACGTACATGTAGATCTCACAAAGCATGTGACTTTAGTGACATATTTATTCCTCTTCCTTTATATCCTGGCCACTCACAAGAAATTATGGCTGTAAATTCACATGATGCTCATGTAACTTCTAATATTCTGTTGAGGCTTTTATAATATTCTGTTGGGATGAATGCATTTCTTTCATTTGGTGTACTTTTCTTTCCCTCGTATTTTAGCTTATCCTTAATGAGCCTAAATGCATGTGATGGAATATGATAATTTTAGCACTATGTCCTTTTTAGGTGTCAAGATCAATTGGCGATGTTTATTTGAAGAAACCCGAGTTAAACAGAGATCCACTTTTCCAGCAATTTGGAAACCCTGTTCCATTGAGGCGACCTGTACTGACTGCAGAACCTTCTATCCTTAGTAGAAAGCTCAGGCCTGAAGACTCATTCTTGATATTTGCTTCTGATGGCCTATGGGAACATCTGAGTGATGACACAGCTGTTGAGATTGTATTCAAAAATCCTAGAGCCGTAAGTGCCCATCTCTAATGATTTTGGTATTTCTATTTTACTATAATTTTCCATTGCTGTTTTTTCCATTTATTATACTTGATCCATTTGAGAATGAAATGTTTGTTTTTCAATGTCAATTGAGTCTAATTAACTCTCTGTAAAATGAACATTAGCAAGTTGATGAATAGAAAATAGGATTGTCACTTGACCTTGTTATGATTTATGTATGTCTCAAGAATTTCAGAAAGTAATTAAATATGGAAAGAAAATCAAACATAACTACATTAAGCTTTTTTAAAATTTTAATTCATGCAACACTTTGTCCTCTTTTCATCAGTAATTCCTTGATCATATGGATGAAAACAAATGTTGCCATTTTTTACACTGAAATGAAATATGTATTTTACCCTTGTTCATTGTTTTGTCTACACTGAATCTGCATTAGTGCGCCTCACCGAAAAGGTGGTCAGTGTAATTATTCTAAACTTCTGATGCGTATTGTATTTTTTTAATCTCACAAGTGGTCAATGTAATTTACTCAAAAAAAAAAAAATTGTGGCAATTGTTGAAATAGCATATTGAATTTGTTTGCATCAGTCTAAAAGATGCTGAGGTGCTGTTTGATAACTTATGGCAATATGGATGATATATTTCGATTGGTTGGTGAAATATTTGCAGGGAATAGCCAAGAGGTTGGTTGGAGCTGCCCTTCAGGAGGCTGCAAAGAAAAGGGAGATGAGATACAATGACATAAAGAAAATCGAAAAGGGGATTCGGCGACATTTCCACGATGATATCACTGTGATCGTCATATATCTCGACCATCAAAAAGGCTCAGTTACTGGTAGATTTAAACACAATGCGGTTGGCTACACAACTGCCCCGGTTGACATTTTCTCTAAGGTGAATGAAGCCATGGAGGAACAACTACACCACACAAGAAAACCCAACTAAGATCTAACTGAAAGAACTATAGATTAATAACATTACAAATATATGATTTAACTTAGATGATAAATACATGTAAATCTGTTTTTCCTTAAATGAATGGGAATTTGGGGGAAAAAGACAGAACTCTAACCACAGATTTTTTTGTTCTTTGCTTAATAATTTTGACTTGGTGCGAATAGTGATTGCAAAATTGTTCTTTTAGTTGAGATTTTGCCTGTTTTCATGTGTTCAGGTTTTTTTCTTATTTTTTTAAATTTTTTTTTTTCGCAGTTTTGTAACATTTTATTTTTGGTCTTCTATTAAAAATGTTCAAATTTACACTCTTAAATTCTACTAGACTGCAAGGTACTTGAAAAGTAAAAAATAAATAAAATATTTAAATTTCAACTTTTTATTTTTAGTTAATGATTTTTAATTATTTTTTTTAGATCTAACCTCAATAATAAAAATTTTGACTACAAAATTTTTGAAAGTGTACTTTGAAGTTTGAAGCAACAAAAAATGAGTTGTTAGAATGGTATATGCGGGGTTTGGTTTAATTTTAAAATTATGATTTGATTATGGAGTTGTGTTTTGAGTTTTGTATTTTTGAATCGTGATTTAAAAAGAAAAATTTTATGTGATTATGGGTTTTAAAAATAATTTTTGAATAATTTGTAATTTTTTTAATTTTATTTTTGAATGATTGATGTATAAAATGTGAAAGGAGAGAAGAGAGGAAAAAAAATGATTGATTAATTAATAATAATAAATAAATAAATTTTAAAAATAATTTTAAATTATATTTTAAAAATATATTTGATTAACGTATTATATTTGTATTCTGATAAAAAATAAAGTTAAGTTTTAAAAAATAAATCAAAAATTACTTTCTAAGATATTTGTGTGTGGCCGTAGAATTGAATAGAGGTTAAGAAGTCAATATAAACGGCGCTTATTTCCTGCGACTTGTTAGAATGGTGACCAATCTCTGTTCAAAAATAAAAATCTCTTTAAATTATAGGTAAGATATTGAGTGAGGATGAGAGTTGTCAAATATATGTGGGCAGTACAGACGGTGAAGTCAATTTAGGCAGAGGACTGAGATTATTGCCGTAGAATAAACACAATTTGAATCAGTCCGAATGGGACCCCGGTTGTTCATGACACGGCTAATGGAATAATATTGCCTCGTTCGAAAATTTGATTATTTTTATTAGTTTTTAGTTATTTAATTACTTTAATTTGACTAAAAAATCATGCTTGGGATAATAATAGTTAGGGGATTTTTTTTTAAAGGTTTTAGTATTAAGATTTTATAGTATAAAAGATATTTAATATATTTTAATAATGTCTAAGGTCCCTTAAGTTGATCTAGAGAAAATTGGTCTAGAGAAATTCTTTCTCTAGACTTTCCAGAGAAATTTTAATTTATCTGACCTTCCCTAAACTTCTTATTGTAAATTTCTCTACCCCCTTCTCCAAATTTCTCTATCTTCCATATACTTCACACTCTTCCAAAGAAATTTCTCTGTCTTTCCACAAAATTACATTTCCAAAGAAATTTTAAATTTCTCTATCTTCTCTGTCTTTCCTTGACTCAACACTCCAGAGAAATTTGAAAATTTCTTTGACTAATCTTTATAGAGAAATTGGTTAAAATGAATCCAAAAAAATTTGAAAATCCAGAGAAAATTGGTCAAAATGAACCTAAAGAAATTATAAATTTTCTCTGGGTTTGAGTGAAGAAGCTATAAAGATTTGAAATTTGAAATAAAAAAAGTGAACCAGTTGTAGAGGAATTTGAAATGTAAAGGTTGTGATAAAGTGTTGTAGGCATTTATGTAATAGAATAGTTAGAACAGATGTATTATACGTATGTTATGCATTTCATGGTTGTTTTGGTGAGATTGAGATTAGTTAGTAGCAGTGGGTATTTGGTAGTTGATGTGAATGTGATTTGGGTCTTTCACAGATTGTGGGCTCCATTGGAATCTAATGGTCCAGTGCTATCAAGGCGTTGACATGATCAAGAAGAGTTGCAGATCATATCTGAAGACTGCAAGACTGAGAAGGTCTCTGTATGTGTATGTGTGTTAGACACTGAATTTTTATATATACATTGAATTTATTTGAGTTGTTTGGTCTATGCTATATTGAATCATTTCCCAAAAGTACATAAAAACACAAATGTATCTATTGAATTATTAATATTTTTATAAATTCAATCTGACAAAAGCCTAGACTAGATAGGAATGTAATTGAGGAGGTTTAAAAAACCCAGAAAGCAATTTAGTGAATTTCGACTCCTTATTTTTTTGTCTTCCATATACTTCCCACTTTCTAGAGAAATTTCTCTGCATTTCCACAACATTACCTCTCTAGAGAAATTTTGAAATTTCTCTAACCTCTCTGCCTGTCCTGGACTCTAAGTTATTTTTTATTTGCCTCTCTTCTTGGACTGTCATACTTATGAGAAAGAAAGGGCCATCCAAGAAAGAGATGAATTGAACAAGCCTAGGAAATTAGGAATCAAACCAACCATTAGAAAGTTAATGTCGCGGTAGATTATGAAGGCCAAGCCTCACTAGACCTGGGAAGAAACACGTTCTCTAGCGACAAAAATCCTTCTGCCTGTATGTGTGTGTGTCTGTGTATATATATATATATATAGAGAGAGAGAGAGAGAGATAACAATGAAAAATAAGAAATTCAGAGCATGAATTGATTTTGAAGACAATAACAAAGTGATATAAGTAAAAACTAACTTTATGAACAGCAATCCAAGGGCATTTTGAACAAGGGACCCATGACCACTGAGAGAGAGTAGTGGAGTTAAATCTCTTCCATTTCTTAGTGACAGCAAGTGCAGTAACACGAAAGTCACTCAACGAAAGGATACCATCCCATGTCAAGATATCAATCTTTGATGCATTCAAGACCATCACAGCAGAGACTGAATTAGCGATTGTGACCTTGCAGTTTTCGAGGACTTAGAGGGAGTCCTTGGTTTGAGAGTCGAGAGTTCCGATCTTGTTCATCAGAGCCTCGAACTGCTTCAGGAGGTTTTGCTCAAGAGACGAGAGAGATAGCGAAAGATTCAGTAATGGAGAAGTTGACTAATTTTTCCTGATAGTTAACTTGTTTTTGTAGTTGATTTAATAATTGTAAAAAAAAAAAAGAAAAAAAGATTAGGATTTGAATGTGATATTTTCTTTTATTAATTATTTTAATATTTTTAACCAAACTTTGACATCCTGATATAAATATTAGGGTAAATTACACTCACCTCCCTTAAGGTTTCTAACAAATACAAGGACTTCCCCTGTAGTTTCAATAATTACAGAAATCCCTTATACTTTAATTAACAATATCAAGATTCTTCTATTTTTTGACTGTCATTCACACAAGTAACAGAAATTGCTGATGTCATCAAAGATATACGTTGGAATGTCCATAATGCCCTCAAGTGTCTTGTTGAGAAAAAGCAATACTCAAATTCAAACAAGCAATACCCAGTGTTCAATATGTATATAAACACATACAAACATATTTTGATTTATAGCAAAGAAAATAAAATCTAATTAAATTAATTTCTAAATTTGTTTAACAGATATATGTATATATGTACACACATTCAAACATGGGAAGCAAATTTTTTTCTTCTAACAGATATATATATACATACAATTATTGTACGGGGAGCAAATATTCCAGCAAGCCCGTACTCCTTTCTTCCAAGCTTCGTTTATGTCCGATCGCCTGAAAGCACAACGGCAGTGAGCTACCCGGCGGTGTGTGGCCGGAAAACCCCTCCGACGACCAAGTTAGCACACACCTTGGGATAGAGGGAGAGAGGAGAGAGTTTGAGGGTAATAGTTTCTTACAAAATGTTCGTGTCTCGCGTATGGGGGGCGCAGACATGCTTATATACCCTCTGCGCCCCAAATCTACTCCGAGTGATCTCTCGACACGTGGCTCTACTATCCCATCTGTCAGCACAAATCTTGCTGAGCATCACCTAATCCCAACTGCCAGACTACTTTGTTGGGAGCTCGGCAGCCGATCAATATTATCTCGGCTACCAACGGCCATTCCACACTTAAGCCCAAGCGCTCCATAACCGAGCTACTCCAGGCCATGTTCAATATCGACCGTGCTCGGCTACATTCCGGCAAAGCCGAGCTCGGCTCAGCTCATGCTAGTTGGACGTCGGCGCTCCCACGAAGCTAACTCTCGAACCGTGGAGCCCAGTGAGGCAGCGAACAACTCGGCTTAGCCCTCACTTGACGGTCCTTGTGCTGTGAAGCACCGCCTTGCCAGTGCCTAGCCTTGACCGAGCAACACTCTCTAGACAGGCCCAAAACTTCCATGGCCCAATGTGTTCAGCCCAAATCTGTTCGGCCGTTACCACGAGCCAATTTTAGATCATAAATCTCCCTCTCAATTGCCCCTTAGTTCTGTCCGCAAAAGCGTGACTGGGATTACATATTCCGACTGGGATAACACTTCCTCGGTCCTCAGAATACGAATCGGCGACCGGGCCAGTTGACTCCTGTCTGCGAAATTTGTCCGGTTCAACTCCTCGGTTGACGTTCTCTTCTTAAAAAATTGCCCGGTTGTCTTCTCAACTCTTCAACCTATCCCCTCAATTCTGACGTCGTCATAAATGGGGACACGTGGCAGGCTTCCATTGGACCTCGAGTAGCCAACCCAGCCGTCTGCCAGAATTTGAATTCTTGGCGGTTTCTCCATCTATACATACAAGCCCCTTCTCCCTCATTTCGCTCCTACTGCCTCTCTGCAATCCGACGCTTTAGAGCTCAAGCATCTTCCTTCAAACCTCGTCTGCCATTCTTTGCGTTTGTGCTCGAAGAAGCAGGCCTTCCATTGGTAAGTCCTTCAACCCATGTCATTTTCATTTGATATTTCTTCTTCTCTGGTACCAAATCCGTAGGTTTTAGGGCCTTCCCCACCCACAACCTTTAATGCCCCTTAGTTTCTTCGTTTTTCTTCAAACTGTTCTTCATTTTTCCTGAAGAACACTGAGGATCTGGGTTTGACCGAGCTCCAGATCTTCATTTGATCCAAGAAATCAGTTTAACCGAGCAAATAAACTGTGTTGTAATCTTAGCAAAAACCGGGATGGCCATAGGACTTGGCCGCTCAACCGGGCTAACAACTGGTCCGCTTGGGCGACCGAGCTCCTGGTTAGATTTTACGACCGTGGTGGTTTGGCACAATCCATGACCGAGCTA